ACACAGGCCAATGACCTGTAGACCAAAAGTTTGCCAAAAGTTGGCACTTAGCTCTGCATAAATTACAAAACTACGCGTGACCATAACATTATACCTACACTAGTACATACATATAACGTTTATCATTCAAATTGTTAGAAGTCACGGATCATTTATAATACTATACTAGTCTAAATGCGCAGGATGACCACGACCGTGGTCCTTTTTGCCATATAATATGATAGTCACGGTAGCATAGGGTTCGCGCTCGTTTTGTTTACACACACTCACTAGACCTCTACCATGAAGTGATAGCTATGATTGTGGATGGTAATATAATATTTTTATGGTAATAAAATAATTATGCCTTAAGGTGTTACATAATACGTCATATTATTATTGATGTACTATTATAATTGCGAAAGGATGCAATTTTGATGGCAATCTTTGTTACTCCTTCACGTTGAAACTGCTGAACGGATTTAGATGAAATTGAGCACACAGATAGACTGGGGAAACGCGTATTAGGGCACTGTAATGTATGTAGGAACGCACCCAAGCAAAGATGATAAAAATTATTAAATTCTAAAACCTTAGTAATATAAGAAAAGTGTGACTGTTGGTTTATCCCACTTTGACTAACCGAACTGATTTATATCATTTTTATATAGAAATTGGTTATTGAGGTAGAGAATTACACACAAAGGCGTATTTTGACGGATGTGATAAGTATATAAGGTAGTAGTAGCCCAGTAGTAAAGTGCTCGCTTAGGAAACCGATTGAAGCAGGTTCAAATCCAGGGTCTCGCACTACTAATATGTTCATGTGTAAATCATTTCTACCATGATTTCCAAGAGAAACATCGCCAGGAAACCAGCATGTCTGAGAAAACTTTTTAACTTTTAACTTAACTTAAAAAAAAGCAAGTTTTCGAAAGACATGTGAAGTCCGCCAACCCGCACTTGGCCAGCGTGGTGGACTATGACCTGATTCCCCCCTTATTGAAGGGAGGTGCGTCCTCAGCAGTGGGACGTTAAAAAGGTTTGAATATATATATATATATATATATATATATATATATATACTATATAATAATAAAAAATAAATTTACATAGGTATAATTCTGAAAATACATTTACGGTATCTCAGTTTTATATTTGCAAGTACATATTTAAAATGCCGTTTTTTTTTCTTATTTTAATAGTTTTAACTAAACCTAAGTGTTTTAATTCAGCTAGATGCATTGCCATTCATAAATTGAAAGAATCTTTTTAAACAAATTAATGTAGCTCTACCTATTTTAAACATTGCGAAACTCGGTTTTAATAGCACACTTTAAAAGCTAAATCTGATGTAGTGTAGTAAGTTATTTTCTATTCAGTATAATTATGAACAATAATGTCTTGATAAAATAATTTATGGTGCATATAAGCTCAATAAGAAAAAGATGTAGGCTTAATCATTACCTATATATAATAAAATTCTGAGTCGAATCTGTACATTAAATATTTTTTGGAAAATCTTATTGAAATAGCATCTGTCTGTCTGGGCACGCATCACGAGAATATCACTGAATGTATTTTAATGATATTTGCTATGATAATATATGATACTTTTCACTGCAATAAAATATCTCATCTCTGAGAAATCTATACTAACCATTAAAACGAAACCGTTAAAACCGAGCGGGGCGAGGGTGAGTCGCTAGGCGTTTATAAGTGTTTGTACGATTTTTAATAATTTAGGACATTTCAATAGAGACACTTTGCTTTTGACAGTGTAGGTTAAATGTAGGAGTAATAATAATAGTTATTAAGAAAATTACTAATAACGAAACTGTATATCATGTGGTCAAAGAATTATTGTGAACTGGTTAATTTAGTAAACGATCATACGACAATTGCAAATCGTTTAAGCATGAGATCCTTTTCCCTCTACAAAATCTCTTCTCTACGATAAAATGTAAATAGCCTGCAAGTCTCTACGATAAAATGTAAATGACTGCCTTTAAAGAATGATTATGGCCTTTAAAGTTATAATGCCCTCAGCAATTCCTTAAAACTGTGCAGGAGCTATTATAAAACAGACATAATTATGATTGCACCTTTTTCCGGCAACAACTAATAGGTATGACCGATAAAAACAGGATTCTGCAGGACCGACGGCAACGTAAACGTCTAACGTACGGCACGTTATGTTTTCGGTAAGACTATATTATAACAATTAACTCTTACTTTTCATATATAAACCCATTGCCATTTTGTTAGAATTTGATTTATCTTGATTATTCTGCTATTTAGATAAAAAGAAAACATTATTTTTATTTGTGTACGAAGCTCTACGCTAAGGTAAGCATGTAATATGTACGCATTATAGGTGGCTTTTAACATGACCTATATATATGTATGTATGTATGTATGTATGTATGTATGTATGTATGTATGTATGTATGTATGTATGTATGTATGTATGTATAGGTCATGTTAGAAGCACTTAAAGATGAGTAAAGTCTGGAATTTAAAATCTAGAGCTTTTAAAAGATTCACCATAAATTGGTAATAGCTTAGAATATATTTAGTAGAAATAATTTGTTACCTTAAAGGGAACCTATGTACAATATCGGTCAATGTTAAAATACCTAAATGATTGATCATCTTTACTGAGTAACAATTACTCCACAGGAAAATAATTGTCGATTGATTGGTCAAATTTGAAAAATTTAAGCGATAAGTTTTTTGTTAAACAATTTTTACAATGAAAAGTACAAATACTACAAAACATCTTTGAAATAAATATAATTTAGATTATAATATATTTATTATAATTATTATTATAATTATAGTATTGGAGAGCATCAATACCAAGTTTAAAGTAATTCTGATCATAAATATTTTTTTTAGTTGTATTATAACGTGCTCTCCGTAAAAATGAGATAATCTCCCGCGATAAAAAGTAACCTATATTACCTCCAGCCCTCCAACTATCTCCACACAAAAAATCACGCCAATACATAAATCCGTTTCGGCGTGAAAGAGGGAAAAAAAAACAAACAAAGAAACTTTCACATTAATAATAATAGTATGGATATGTATTGAATGTATACAGCCCTTCTCAAAGTCCCATTACTGGACCATAGTACACCCAACACACCACCGAAAAATATATGTGTGTACCAAAATGTATATTTTACACATACATAGACGCAATACACATATAGACAACGATATCGGATTTTTAAAATAAAATGATTTACCGTTGGATGGTTGCAGCCTGTCATACGCAAATTTAGCCGACGGGAAAAGGCTGAATGTTAAGAAAAGATTAATTATTTTATAAACAGTTGCTATATTGTCGAGATTTTGGAGTCAAAATTGTAATGAAAAGATTTAGCAACACTTTGAGTTTAATTTTGAAGGCCTAAAATTTTGTCTGCCTATTTCTATAACAACTTACGTTTACTTTCCAATACGAAAAGAGACGTGAAAATTTGATTAAACAACTACATTTTTGCGTTTTAAATTTAAAGAAATCTCCATTGGAAGCGGCCACAACCGCTGACTGATTACTAGTATAACATAAAATATATATTTAATTATAATCCTTTCCCACAAAAATACACCTTGACCTATAAATCGAACCCGCAACTCTTGGAATCAAAGTACTGCGTCACAAGTATTTAGGAGATATATAATTTATATACTTTTTAATATTCAAAGCTTCCTGTAACAAATTACTATATAATATTGTATAATGTATACAGCTATGGGCGGTGCCATTGGAGAGAGCAGGGGGTGCGAGGCCCGGGCCTATCCTTCATTCCACCGACAACGCTCGGTACAGTCGCACGTCTCCTTTGAACCGGGAATCCTCCATCATGCTAGGCACTACAGTCTGTTTCAAACTTTTGGTCCTCCTAACATAAGTCTATAAAAAATTTAAAATGTCTTTAGTGGTCAAATTAAATCGTTTTAAAATCTTGAAATGCAAAAATGAAAAGTACGCGCGGGTGCAGTTTAGAGGTAAGTTGTGCTTTTGTTTTAAACTTTACATTTTATTATGTTATATATTATTTCAATATATTTTCCTGTGATATTTTTGCGAACATGTTTTTATTATATTTTGTTACATGCAATTTTATTTTTTAGAATTTTAAGTGATTTTCTGTGTCATTTATTTTACAAATTTTTGTATCATGTATTTTTAAGTTAGTTTAAGATAAGATGAAGCGTTTAATTAAGGATCTACGCGAAATGCTGGCGTTACATTTTTCACGACGGTCAAACTGCAACTTTTATATGTACTCGTATATTACGTCATTATTATTCTACTACATTATAAACGCATAAATAGCGTGCGAGCTCACGCGTTCAAATTTTTTTCATTTTCCTATAATAATTGATTGATTTGTGATTGATGCAATTACATTAACAATTTAAAATTAAACTGAATCATTCAGCCCTTTTGCCCCACTGTTAGGCTTTACTTTATTCAAGGGGAACAAGACCGTAGTCTAACGCTAGAAAAATGGGGCTTAGTGGATTTCACGCGAGTTTTGATACTTTAGGTTCTCTCAGACTTGCACGTTTAATCATAATATTTTCCTTCACAATATGCATAAGTAAGGTGATCTATTTGATAAATGATTCGCACATAAAAATCCGGGAGATTCAAGACCTCCGGAGCTTAAACACGCTTCATTTGCTTTTCCAAGGGAGAGCATGAAATCTAAAATGCTATTCTTCTATTTTAACCATTTCCTTCTTTCTTTGAGATGCAAATTAAAAAAAAAATATAATAATGTGAAAATTCTGCTATTTATTTTGCGGAATGTTTTTATAAATTATATTTAAATATGTACGGTATTTTTTTTACTAGTAAAAAATAATTCCTAATCTACTGCAACTATTTCTTTTGTCGGCACCAATTTATTTTATCTCGATGCGAGAAAATATAAAATAATATTTATTATACACACTTGTTATTTTAAATAAAACTATTTTTCGAACATTCTCGCGGATGGATGGAAGAACGGACGGACGGACGGACTTTATGGACGGATTTGATGGATAGATGGATGGATGGATGGATGGATGGATGGATGGATGGACGGATGGACGGATGGATGGATGGACGGATGGATGGATGGAAGGATGGATGGATGGATGGATGGACGGGTGGATGGATGGATGGATGGATGGATGGACGGGCGGACGGACGGACGGACGGACGGACGTACGGATGGACGAACGGACGAACGGATGGACGGACGGACGGACGGATGGACTTTATGGACGGACTGATGGATGGATGGATGGATGGATGGATGGATGATTGGACGGACGGACGGATGGATGGATGGATGGATGGATGGATGGATGGATGGATGGATGGATGGACGGACGGACGGATGGATGGATGGATGGATGGATGGATGGATGGATGGACGGATGGATGGATGGATGGATGGATGATTGGACGGACGGACGGATGGATGGATGGATGGATGGATGGATGGATGGATGGATGGATGGATGGATGGATGGATGGACGGATGGATGGATGGATGGATGGATGGACGGATGGATGGATGAATGGACGGATGGATGGATGGATGGATGGACGGATGGACGGATGGATGGATGGATGGACGGGTGGATGGATGGATGGATGGATGGATGGATGGACGGACGGATGGATGGATGATTGGATGGATGGATGGATGGATGGATGGATGGATGGATGGATGGATAGATGGATGGACGGATGGATGGATGGATGGATGGATGGACGGATGGATGGATGGATGGATGGACGGATGGATGGATGAATGGACGGATGGATGGATGGATGGATGGATGGATGGATGGATGGACGGATGGACGGAAGGATGGATGGATGGACGGGTGGATGGATGGATGGATGGATGGACGGGTGGATGGATGGATGGATGGATGGATGGACGGACGGACGGACGGACGGTCGGACGGACGGACGGACGGACGGACGGACGGGCGGACGGACGGACGGACGGACGGATGGACGGATGGACGAATGGACGGATGGACGGATGGACGGACAGACTCAATAACTAAATTTGGCCCGACCCGGGACGCAAACCCAGGACCTCCGGGTGTGTAACCGTACATTCTAGCCACTACACCACCGAGGTAGTTTAAAGTTGAAAACAATAAATATAAAATAATAAGTTATATTCACCGAACGTAAATTTTTCACTTAAGACCAACATGCTCATAATTTTCATCACAGTTACGAAGCTGATTATTTTATTCATTAAAGTACTACTTATGAAAATTCAGTTGCAAAAAACCAATCTCGACAAAGTCTTCTATTATATTTTTAGATTTTTTTTAAGTTGGTCAGCTCGAAAATTCTCAAAAATTCAGAAAAAAATAAATAACTCGAAAACTATGAAAAGGCGCGTAATATACATGGGGTGATTCGGATACCCAACGATACGAGGGACCTTAATTTTATTTTTGGATGTCATCTTCCGGCCAACTAGTAGATAATGAAATTCTACTACCGTGTATAGCGGGACTATAGGATGCTAATCTTCCCTCTCTTACCCCATCCTCACCTCACTAGGTATACGTCAACAAGGTCATGGTCGTGAAATCGAAATATTTATAAAATGGTCGCAGTTGAGTATTGGTTGGAATAATACGCTATTGAATATAACATATATTATTATTATACATTATATTATTATACATTAACAATATTCATCAGGTTGATCGCAGTCGCGGTTACCAGTTGATTCTACAAATATAATAAAATATGTAATTGTCTTTTGAAGTTAGAGCCTGAGGCACATTGTGCGTCTTTAATCGACTTCCAAAAGGGAGGACGTTCTCAATTCGTCCGAATCTTATTTTTATGTATGTTCACTGATTACTTGAAGACGCCTGAACCGATTTAGATTTTTTTTGTTTCGAAGGGTATTGTACTTCCCAGGTGGTCCCATTTAAATTTTATAGAAATCGGTAAATCGGTTTTTAAAAAATCAACAATAAATTATTTTTAAGCTCAATCAAATATGTTATTAAAAATCTTTGTTCTTACAAATTACCTGCTTATTACGTCTACACTAAAAATGAAAAAATAAAAACGTAAGAAAACAGACCGAAATTCGGGCAATAAAAGGTAAAAAATAAATAAACGGGCCATTTTCTATTCACACATACACACACACACACACACACACACACACACACACACACACATTTTATTATTGATGTCGGATATTTTTGGATTAATATAATTAAATTTCAATGCTATGGATCAACTTATATGGAGAATCGCATATGTTAAAAAAACCAAATGTTAACTATCACATATCATTAGTAGCACGTCGATATTATACGCCTCATGTCTAAAGGAATTAAGTACTTGAATGATCTACTACTTCATTTTTACACCATGTCTATGAAGAAATACTCATAACCAGTTACACGCGACAAATTTTCAATGTTCTTTCTTCGAACGACATAAAAAATGTATTTTTAGGGCTTATCTCGAACTAAAGTACTAGTATACTATGAATAATGCATAATTTTCTCACGTTCGCTTGATTTGCATTAAGATCCCTCTACAAAGACGACTGAATATCTTTGTGGTGCAGAATCGCATGTATCATTCTGTTATGGTCTTTAAATAAGATTATGAGTTTAATTTTCATATTAAATTTGTTATTTACTCCTTAAAGTCTAGACCATATAGATAAACTATTTTTACTAGTAAATAACATTAAAAAAAAACAGAAAAATTAATTAATATCTGAACTTTATTATATCTATCTATATAATTTTAACCGGTGGTAGAACTCTGTCAAGCCTGAGGAGTCCGACTGGATGGGTACCACCCCCTTATCTATTTCTTCCATCAAGCAACAATGATTACATTGTTGTGTTCCGGTTTGAAGGATAAGGTAGCCAGCACAATTACAGGCAAGAGGCATATGATCTTAGTCCTCACTGAGACAATGCACCTATGGCTCTGCATTTTTGTTTCATAAAACCTAAGTGCATGAACCGTAGGTGTTATGGGCGACAGGTACCGCTTTCCATCAGGTGGTCTGTCTGCTCGTTTGTCACTGAACACCATAAAAAAATCAATTGCCAAATATATGTAAGCGAACTATTTCAGAACGGCTGCACCTATTTGGCTAACTCTTTTTTTTGTAAATGTAATTGTCAGGACAAGATTTGGGTGAAAGAAATATTTGAAAAAACATACGGAAAAATTTGGGTTAAAAAATAGAACAGTGAGTAGACAGATTGACGTTCAGTCAGTTTCTTCATCATGACAACAATATTTAAATATTGTTATTATACTAATATTATTAATATACTAATATTATAAATGTTGTGTTTGTGAGTTTGTGAGGTTGTATGGAGTAATATCTGGATCTACTGAAATAGATGAAATTTAGTAAGAGGAGTACATTTTGAAGTCAAAAGTGCCTAACTGCAAAAGGACATATCCAAATAATGTAAAAAAAATAATTAATTCAACAAGAAAGTTTAGAAAAAGACAATATGCTCAATAATTTACCTTTGAGGAAATGATAGAACAATAGCAAAATAGAATACGACAGTATTATATTGTGCAAAACTTCCTTATACTCGTATTTAAATAAACTAATATAAGGAGCTTATTGCTAAGCTAAAGCTATGCTACGAGGTTTTTGACGTTATTAGGTTTGTTATATTTTATGCGACAAGACGGCAAAATTATTTATACGTACATATACTTACAAAATGTTATTTTAGATTTTTGATGATAAAATAATTTATGCAGGACACTTGGCGGATTAGAAATAACAAATATTACAGTTACCAATCAAAGGCATTAGCTTCATTAAAAGGTATTCAATTGCAATGTAAAATAAAAAAAAAACATCTAAATATGTATTACCTATGTAGATAACAAAAAATATAATGTTAAAAAATAATATATTTTTTATAAGATATGTAAATCTCGCAACAAGATTTTATATCATATAAATTGTGTAAAGTAATAAATTGATGGGTTCGACTTAATTTAAAGTTTATTTTCTTCTTTTTAGAACATTTCAATTATTGTTAATAAAAGTCTCTTTATACAATTTTATATGTAGTCATTCGTATTTTTCTCAGCAAACCCTTTTATTTGATATCATGAGGGTGCATAAAAAACATAGTTCGCCATGCAACATATTGGATTAAGCATAACGTCACTTTACTTATCGTATTTTGCTTATCAATTACTTTCATTTAATAGCCACATCATAGGCGTTTATATAGAAATTATAAATCACCACGAAGTTGCGGCGGCCGCGATATTGGATTTGCAATGACATCACTTTGCTTATTTTGTTTTGCTCATTGAGCCCGTTTATTTGATGCACATATCATAATGGTCACTATGGAAATGATAAATCGCTATTTAGTAACGTTTTATCATTTTCTTTTGGATTTAAAAAGAGGGAATTGAAGAAATCGTGCATTGTCACGAGAACCAAGCATGTATGCCAAATTTTAGATCAATCAGACACTGGGAAGTGGGTCAAATTTAACTTGCAAGATTTGATTACAGACACCGGGATAGTCGAAACTAAAAGTTTTAAGCATGTAAAAATATTAACAATATAACATTTATTATGAATACATTTTCCCACGCCTTTTTTTATTTTATGTTAATAAGAAGCCTGTGCTTATTTCGAATAAGCGCTATTGCCATTACGGGTACCCACTCGTCCACTCCAAACACTGACTCCAAACTGTAGAGCTAATAATTAAAAGTTCAAGATTAATTTATCATCATAAGGTGATCTATTAATAAATTAATTCATGAAGAGCTGGTCAATGGTGTATAGCATCTTCCTATAGCTAGGCTCTTATGACATTGCTTGATAATGATTTTTCTAAAAGAGTTGATTAGATTACGAGTATGACAGAAAAAGCAATTGAAGGCAATGTCCAACGGTTTATGGCAATATCCTCATATTAGGAATCATGATATCCCTTCGCCGAGAATTAGACTTAATCAATTTATATAGGGATGATAATGAGACGTAAGGTAATCGCAGAAAAGTTTTCAAATATTTATCCTAAATAATTGTAGCCTGTAGCTTCTAATTGTGGTATCTTGATTCTTCTTATATAAGAAAAATATATCTAGACAAATCGGATAACCACTTTACTTAAGACCTACGTTTTGTTTTGTTATCTATATAAATAAACAAGCATGATTTTTATGGAGTCTTGGCTCAATTTAATCAAAAACATCAGTATACAAAATTCCTATCAATAGTTTACTTAAAAATAGCTTTTAACGCTATGCACTGCACTTTATTACTTAAACAGCTTTCATTTATAGATAACGTAATTAAAATGAAACATGAAAGCTTGGTGAAATTTACTCAACATAATAGCTATACTCTATAGGCTATACCCAATAAAAGCCAATTCACTTTTAGCCAATATCTTATAAAAAACATCTGGTTAATTAGATAATACTTGTCGACGTCACGTGTGACGGCTGTGGCCTCATATTACAATTCTATATATCCTCATATTATTCCTCATATATTTATACATCTAAAAACGATTGCTGTGAATGGGACAAATACGCTTACATCTGTCTATACGAATAATAGAATTGTAAATGAGCCAAATCTGTACATTAAATATTTTTTGGAAAATCTTATTGAAATAGTCATTATTATCGATACAGTAGCAGAATCTATAGTTTTTAAAATTAATGTCTGTCTGTCTGGGAAAGCATCACGAGAAAAATACTGGACAGATTTGGATGAAATTTGGTATGATGATAGCTGGTTACCCTGGTTAACATATAGGATACTTTTTATTGCGGATATATCTCACCTCTGAAAAATCTATACTAAACGTAAAAATGCAACTAGGGAAGTACCCGAGCGGAACGAGGGTGAGGCTAGTCTTATAAATAAAAATGAATACTAAAGGTCGCTAAGCTCAAAACCCGAGAACGGCTGGACCAAATAGGCAGATTTTTGTTTTTAAAGTATTCGCTAAAGTTCAAGGAAGTTTCTTATAAAGAGAA